CAGCATATGTTTTACAAAGCCGATGCCCTAAAAGCTGCAACCCATCACTGGGAACAATTTTATTTTTTTTTTCAGCTTTAACTGCAGTTCAGCAGTTTCACTTTTATTTGGTAACATTTTATTCATGCCCCTGAGACAATATGAGGTATAGGATCTAAGTATGAATTAATGACTGGTCGATGAGTTGTGTTTTAATGGAATTTGATACCGCACGCCAAATGGGGGAAACAAAAACCTCTGCATTTCGAGATATATGTGTCTGTGGTCCTTTACTGACTTGATAGGTGCAGAGAAAAGTGTCAAACAACCGTGTGTATGGAATATCCTGTCACAAAATGCGAGGAAAAGCCCTACATGGCGGTAATATTTTGATTTAGGAGTGTACATGTCCGTACTGCACTTCAGTTATGCGACTAAAATCGGCATCCTCCACATGTCTTAATCCGATTTCTGTTTAGTTTAGTTATGACCTTAATGGGATTGAATTAAACAAAAAAATCGATGTTTAAGGTAGACTTTTAATCAGAATATTGTCTATTAAATGTGTAATTGGTGTCCATGCAAAAGTACTCATTGTTGCTTGTTAAAAACAAAACTAAAAACTTGCTCTTTCTATTATTAAAGAGCTAAAATAAACACATGATGAAATAACCAGGGAAAAAAAACACTCCTCTTGTAGCCCATTCCTAATGCACAAATAGATGCTGAGCAGCAACAACAGACCATTTGTCTGGTCTTGTTAGAGCACCGTGTTACTCATGTTGACATCTGCTCTCATCTGTTGTTGCTCGAGTTTTGCAATTGAAAATTTTCAACTGGTATTGTCGGATTGTGTAATGTGTGAGAAGTCAACTGCTTGTTGCTTGGGTCTGCAGTGTAAATCAGTTGTTGAATAATTAACGGGAGAAGCACTTTCATATTTTATGTTACGGGTACATTTTGTTTTCCTAACAAGGCAGCGACAAAAACATATTCAATGCAATAAAACAAAATTTCCACAAATCAGGAGAAAACATCAGGAAGTAATTTGTCTCTGTGCTCTGTTCTCACCCATCCTGAAACCACCCTCCTCCTCCACCAGACTCAGACCAAAAACCACTCACAATGCCATGAGTTCACCAGGAATGTCTATACAGTGTCCTTCACATAATATATATTGTCGAATTTTTTTTTTTATGTTTGGTGTTATTTTAAATGTCTGATCAAAAAGATTTTAACAGCAGTCGACTGTTGTCTTCAGAGCACTGGTTTTTAAATATATCTAAATTTGCCTCTCTTTACTTACGAATACAAGTGATTTCAGTGGGCGGAGCTAAACGGAGAGTGACGTAAAAGCAGGTGATGATCTTCTGTTGAGGCAAACTACTACAAGTGTCCTAGTCAAGATTATATGAAACATATTATATTGAATTTGACAACTTGTTCTGTTTTGGTATATAAAAATGTGGCAAATTTATCTTTGGAGATTCTGTAATCCCTACAATCTCTGATTCATTTATATTCATTATACATATACATTCACTAGCCATTTTATTAGGTACACCTGTCCAACTGCTCGTTAACGCAAATTTATAATCATCCAATTACATGGCAGCAACTCAATACATTTAGGCATATAAACATGGTCAAGACGATCTGCTGCAGTTCAAACAGAGCATCAGAATGGAGAAGAAAGCTGATTTATGTGACTTTGAACGTGACATGGTTGTCAGGCTGTCCGAATGGCTGCTCTGAGTATTTCAGAAACTGCTGATCTACTGGGATTTTCATGCACAACCATCTCTAATGTACAGAGAATGGTCTGAAAAAAAGAAAATATCCAGTGAGCGGCTGTTCTGTGGGTGCAAATGCCTTGTTGATGCCAGAGGTTAGAGGAGAATGGCCAGACTGATAGAAGGGCAACTGTAACTGAATTAACAACTCATTGCAACCGAGGTATGCAGAAGAGCATCTCTGAGTGCACAACACATAGAACCTTGAGGAGGATGAGCTACAGCAGCAGAAGACTACACCGGGTGCCACTCCTGTCAGCTAAGAACAGGAAACTGAGGTTACAGTTCACACAGGCTCATCAAAAATGGACAATAGAAGATTGAAAAACGTTGCCTGGTCTGATGAGTCTTGATTTCTGTAGCAACATTCGCATGGTAGGGTCAGAATTTGCCATCAACAACATGAGAGCATGGATCCATCCTGCCTTGCAACAACGGTTCAGGTGCTGCTGGTGTAATGTCGTGGGGGATATTTTCTTGGCACACTTTGGGCTCATTAGTACCAAGTGAGCATTGTGTCAATAGCACAGCCTACCTGAGTAATGTTGCTGACCATGTCCATCCCTTCATGAGCACAGTGTACCTATCTTCTGATGGCTACTTTCAGCAGGATAATGCGCCATGTCATAAAGCGTGAATCATCTCAGACTGGTTTCTTGAACATCACAATGAGTTTACTGTACTCAAATGGCCTCCTCAGTCACCAGATCTTAATCTAATAGAGCACCTTTGGGATGTGATGGAACAGGAGATTTACATCTTGAATGTGCAGCAGACGAATCAGCAGCAACAGCATGATGCTATCATATCAATTTGGAGCAAAATCTCTGAGGAATATTTCCGGTACCTTGTTGAATCTATGCCATGAAGGATTTAGGCAGTTCTAAAGGTAAAAAAGGGTCCAACTTGGTATCATCAAAGTGTACCTTATAAAATGGCCGGTGAGTGTATATATACAGTATTTGTTTTTTAACCCCATGTCTTTCTTTCTTTATTTTTCAATAAGTTTTTGAGTAAGGAGTGTACTGCAGTAAAATCAGCAATAAAATAGAATTATAATTTTATAAAAATAATAATATTGTAATAATTATGTTCATATTCCATGCAGAAAATCTAATTAAGGACTTTGAAATAAAACAGAGCTATAATTAAATTATAACTGAATTATAATAAATTAAACAAACTTCACAGATGGGTAAGTAAAAGACCTACACAAATTAAACTTCGCCCATGTCTCTGATCTCATTATTGCGCCAGTGGTGGTCCCACACTGTGTTACGCATGGATAAAATATGTTTTTGAACCCTGCATTTAATAACCCTCATTTTGCCCGAAATATCCTCCACCCCTTATTTCCTGTAATTGTGGATTAGATGAGCACAAACCACACCTCTTCGCAAAATTCTTTCAGATAGTTCAAATGTATCAAATTTCTATCTGCTATGAATGCCTCTCGAGGTTGTGCCAACACTTAAGTCAGGTTGAGCCACTGCAGAGGGCAGAAATTGGCCTGCTGTTTCATAGCTCATCAACACATGTGCTTTGAGTCATTGTTTTTTTTCCACTATCCCCATTATCAATGTCATCAAGATATTCAGGTCCCGAGGCAGCAAGACTGACCAGAACCTCCTTTACAGCTGACATGAGACTTTGATGTTGAGAATCTTTTCACTCCACACATGGTGCTGTTTTAACAACTCTCCATGTTTCATCTGCTTACAGAATGTGTCAAGCATCACTGACACATCAACAGAGAAGTTAACATGCACCAGAGATCTCTGTGAACCCTCAGCTGACACAATAAATTGTTTTCATAGTGAATTACAGGGCTCAGAGGAAGAATCTGTTCTTAGTGATTTGGATCCATGTTAGAAGACTGCGTCGGTTTAGTGTGGGTCACTAGGAATTCATATAGGCTTTTTTCCATTATTTTGCATTAATCAAACTCTACATACAGTTGAAGTCAGAATTATTAGCCCCCCTTTGATTTTGTTTTCTTTTTTAAATATTTCCCAAATTATGTTAACAGCAAGGAAATTTTCACAATATGTCTAATAATAGTTTTTCCTCTGGAGAAAGTTTTATTTGTTTTATTTTGGCTATAATAAAAGCAGTTTTAAATAAAAAAAAAACATTTTAAGGTCTAAATTATTAGCCCCTTTAAGCTATATATTTTTTTCGAAAGTCTACAGAACAAACCATGGTTATACAATAACTTGCCTGTTTACCCTAACCTGCCTAGTTAACCTAATTAACCTAGTTAAGCCTTTAAATGTCTCTTTAAGCTGTATAGAAGTGTCTTGAAAAACATCTAGTAAAATATTATTTACTGTCATCATGGCAAAGATAAAATTAATCAGTTATTAGAGATGAAGTATTAAAACTATTATGTTTAGTAATGTGTTGAAAAAAATCTTCTCTCAATTAAACAGAAATTGGGAAAAAAATAAACAGGAGGGCTAATAATTCAGGGGGCTAATAATTCTGACTTCAACTGTAGGTGTCACGTCTGCCAGCGTTCGATGACTGCAGAGATCGCTGGTGAACTACAAATCAGTCATGAATTACAAATCGATTACTGCCATACCACCCTGGGCACGCCCAATCTTATCTGATCTCGAAAGTTAAGAATGGATTTGTAGTTTACCAGCGATCTCTACAGTGACAATAGGAGATTTACAACAGTATATATAGTGTAAATAAGAATTAATAAATAAGAAATAAGAGTTATTCTTCAGACTATCAGATACAATTTGGTCTTAAAATCTCCCTCAAGGGAGAACATCTTCAAGGGGACAAAAAATATAACAATTACAGCCAATTGCGTGCCAGTTCATGACCTGACGAGATCTGAGAATGCAGTCATGCAGTAAATCTGCATGCACAATCATCCAGTAACTAAAGCTAACAAAAAAATAAACAGCTGACATCCTGAATGATGATGAGTATAGATAATACATCAGCCTAGGATGTTTGGAGAACATTTGGAGCAACAGACACAATGTACTCGAAAACTATGAGTAACGCAGTGAAGCACGTCACATGCAATTCACACTATTTTCCAGGAAATATCCATGTGATATATACAGGGTACCAGGTTAAATTGGCACAGAGTATTGAAATATTTGTATATGTGTTAAAATAAATGACTATAAAAAAGTAACGCGAGTATACATCATAACACAAAATTTGACAGCATGGGAATGTGCACGTGCTTGGGTGTTGTACCTTCAGGTAGTCTTTTCTCAGGTACTTGTTTCTTCTACGATCCTCATTCTGGTTGAGCACAGGAGGAACCTCTGGCCATCTTGGTTCTGAGTCACTGCTCTCTGATTTTAAACTTCCGTCAAGTGAGCAAGAGGAAGAAGGCTGAAGAAGAATCAAAACATTAGAGTGAATCACAGGACTCTCTAGCTATAAAATCGGCTGAAGGCAATGAGAAGTTTGTTTCTTGCCAGCTGGCAGAACTTGCTCTTTCGGGTCAGTGCTGAACAACACTGAAAATCCATCAAACATTTGCTCACATTATGTGGTTTGATAACTCAGATGGGTTTTTGTTGGCAAAGATGTCATAAACGATTAAAAGCATGAAATCAAAAGAATGTGTTGAAAACCATTCTGCTGCTTAATATTGTTGTGAAAACTATATTACATATTTTTCAGGATTCTCGATAGAAAGTAAAAAAATATTGCATTTGTTGTTAATAGACTTTGAAGAACAATAAATTCTTATATTCATTGCTGATTAACTTAAAGGGAAGGTTCGCCCAAAATTAAAATGTGCATGCCAATTCCTCACCTAGGCTCCTGGCTCAACAACTTTACGAGTTTCTTTCTTCTGTTGGAAAACTAAATAAGTATATATTTTTAATAAAAGCAGGAAACTGGTGTCTATTGACATCTATAGTAGAAAAATAAAATACTAGGGACGTCAATGACTTGTTTTTGTTTTGACATGTTTTGAACAAGTGAGGTGCAAAGATCAGTGAATCTTCATTTTTGAGTGAAACCTCCCTTTAATAGAAAATGTAAATGTTAATGAAAGTCATACTAAAATGATTGGAGCTTAGAAGCTTTTTGGTAAGAATGAAAATGCCTGGTTTACACCGCAAGCAGTGTGTGAGCAGCGCGTATGGAGAGCAGAAGAAGCCCACAGGTGTTTGCCTTTCACACCGACTGCTGCACAAGGATGCGTTTCCCAAACAACAACGTAACTCGCAGATGAACTATGTAGTGACGAGTGTTCCCCAAAACCTTAGATTTACTGTCCCAGATCTATCGTTTGAATTACGTTAGTTATATTTTAAATTGCCTATAATGATGCTCTAAATGGGGTGGTAAGAACTTTTTTATAGAAAAAAACTCAGAATTTCTTTGTGCAAATTATATTGCTTTACACACACACTCATTTAAAAAAAAATCCAATATTAGTTTTGGTAAAAACATGCACTCGTTTTTTATGTTAATTGAAATATATGTAAATGGAACATATAGGGCCTTTGTTTCCTTTACAAATATTATTGATAATATTACATATTTTATTTCTAAAACATAAAGCCACTTGCAAAATCTAACACGTGTTCTAAAATCAAATATGAATCAATCAAATAAATGAATAAATAAATAAATTATGATGCAATTTATTAAGAAATTAAATGTAAAATTTATTAGAAAATAAAAAAAAATCCTACTTTAATAATAATAATAATAACATTAACTATGATAATAATAATAATTATTATTATTATTATTATTATTATAACAATAATAATAATAATTATTATTATTATTATTATTATTATTATTTTATAAGTATGAAATTGTTTGTTAATTATTATTTCTTTAAAGTCTACTTTTACAATTTGACACATGTAAACCACTGCAGAAATGTGCTAACCAACAGCCCCATGTGTGTCTTTGTTCATTATCAATGCACTGACACTTTAATTGAGCGTGAGTGCAGTATGAAACCTCTAATCTGTTAACATGGATGCCGAAAAAAAACACCCTCTGCTCACGCTTGCGGTGTGAAACAGGCTTCAGAATGAAATATGAGAAGGAAAAATGTGATGAAGTGAAGAGTGACCTCAGAGAAAGCTGCATCTTCATCAGTGAGATCAGTCTCCTTGAAACAACACACACAGACACACACATGGGAAAAAACTGAATAAGGAGGAATGAAATCGACAAACATGATGATATGCACACTTAGATGAAATCTGCAAACTGCATTAATTTTCTGCACTCCAATAAAGCTAAGAGTCCTGCACTTGCATTGACATCTGAAAGCTTAAATAAATAGTTCACCCACAAATGAGAATATCCTCACCAATTACTCTGAATTGTTTTTAAACATTTATGTTTACATTTATCTTCTGTTGAACACAAAGTAAGATAATCTGACGAATGTTGCAAACCAGCAGCCACTGGCATCCATACTAGAAACAAAAATTTCTATGGAAGCCGACGGTTGCTGCTTTCCAACATTCTTCAGTAAATCTTGCTTTGTGTTCAACACATGAAAGAAACTCCACAAGGCTTGGAGCAAGTGGAGGATGAGTAAATGATGATGTAATTTTATACCTGAGGCCCCTGACAACATACTAAGATCTACTCGAGCAAAAAGATCCATCTAAAGAAGAGTGCACACTATCTGTGACATTATAATTGCATTTACACACAATCCCTTACAATTTGTACATCATCAAGGACCACAGTTGAAGATTTTCTTTGTTGTACTGAAAGATAAAAAGCGAATTGCATCTCGGATGGCCTGAGGGTGAGTAAATGAACATCCCTTAAAATACATTAAAAAGAAAATTGCTGCTAAAACCAGCTAAATTATTTTAGGCTATGTTTACATGGACAACAGTAATCTAATTATCTGCCTTAATCTGAAAAAGACAATAATATGATTAGGGTGTTTACATGTGTTGCTCAGTGACTGCAGACTTCATGTGGATCTGGCAATGAGTTAGCATGTCAGGTCACATTTAAAACACAGATTAACGTACAAAAGAACTTGTGTGTTATACAGTACTAACAGATAAAGTGCTGTCAGCGCTGCTATTGTAAAAATAAGGGCTTGCGCCATCAAACCTTAGATGTCAAATAACTGACACTTTCAAGTGTGAAGCCAGCATGTATTTCATACAAGGTATGTCAAATTGAGCATATGGCTGTACGCATTATTGCACTCATGTAGACATGTTTATCAAGGCGTCTGTCGGTAAAGATGTGTGTACCTGTCCACTGAATGCTGATGCAGAGCTGGTTCCTTCATCTAGAGACGCACTGTAAAGAAAACAGATACTTTGAGGATCAAAAAAACATGTTAGGACTTAAGGGCAACTGAGAATGTTTTTTCTGGCTGGGTTTTCATATGTAATAATGTATGTTTTCACTCATGCGTGTGAGGTGGGGCCTGATGTGCTGTCAGATCATTAATCCGCCTACTTTGTCTGTGGAGGATAAAGGTAATGGAGAGCTGTATACTAGACAACCTTACAGTTGAGATTGACAGCTTGTAATTCTAGAAGACTAGTGGTCTAAATCAGGCTGTATGCTCTGGGCGAACAGCTTGACAGGCATGTCTGGGGCTGTAATATAGCTGGGACTGCTTTTGCAGACAATACTGACAGGTCTGTGACTGATATGATGTGCCTTGAGGTTTCTGTTATAATTCAAAAATTCGTTTTAAAATATGACGTTTAGCAAAACTAGATAAGCAAAGTTCATATACAGTTTTTTCAAAATGTTGCTTAATGTTTTGTGGAAAATGTGCATATTTATTTTTGATTTTTACATGCAACTAAATTACTGGGTTGAGGGTAAAGTCAGATTGAAAGACTTGAAGTAAAAAAGTTTAATGAATAGAGTTTTGTCTAAATGACTTTTAGATTAGACTGAAAGGGATGATGTAGACATGAAACAATTTATTCAACAGGAAAAAAGTTTGCTTGTAAACTAATTTGAGTATTCAAATATTGTATTTAAAAATACCTTGCTTACATGTGTGTCTTATGTTTTTATATGTAAATATGCAGTTGAAGTCAGAATTATGGGGGTCTATTTTAACAATCTAGGCATAAAGTCTAAAACGCATGGTGCAAAAAGCATTAGGGGCTTATCCTATTTTGCTATTTTAAGGATGGAAAAATACGGTTTGCGCCATGGAGCATGGTCTAACAGGGTTGTGCTTATTCTTTTAATGAGTTATGGGTGTGTTTAGGGGATAACATGTATTAAACCATTCAGAGTCTCATCTCCCATTCCCTTTAAGAGTCAGTTAAGTTGCACCAAGGTGCATTTGCTATTTACATGGCGGATTTTGTAAGAGGAAAAACTGAACACTTCACTAGCAAGAAAACAGACCATCTGCAGCACCAGGATAAGAATGAGCCTCCTTCATTGCGCCGGACTTTAGACCAGCTTTCAGTTGGTCAATTGCGCTGTCTATTTTAGTTTCTCAAAATAGCAACGGGCCAACAAATGCCCCATGTCACCCATGAGTCCACAAAGTGCTGCAAATGGATTTGCTATTTATACAGCATGGCTTAAAACAGGAAAATTAGGATTGCGTTGGTCTGAAAATAGCAACAAATCACATCAAACAAGTCTTGTGCCTTATTGCGCTGGGTGTAGGATAGGGCCCATGAACTCTCCTGCTATATATGTATTCTTTTATATTTTTTTTCTTAACTTTGCCAGAAATTTTCAACACATTTCTAAATATACTTATTAGCATTTTAATAGCTGATTTCTAATAACTGATTTATTTTATCTTTGCTATGAGGACAGTACAATATTTTACAAGATATTTTTCAAGATGCTAGTATTCAGCTTAAAGGCCAATTAAAGGCTTAACTGGGTTAATTAGGTTAACTAGGCAGGTTAGGGTAAATAGGTAAGTCATTTTATAACATTGGTTTGTTCTGTAGACAGTCAAAATGCTTAAGGATCTAATAATGACTTAAATATTTAATAATATATTTTAATAATATTGACTTTAAAATGGTTTAAATAAATGTAAAAAACACATTTATTCTAGCCAAAATAAAACAAATAAGACTTATGTAACTTTCTAATAAGAAGTGTGTATATGCTAACGTCTTAAAACATGCAACTAGATAAAATGTGGTTCAAAGACTACTTGTTTCCATCAAATATAAAGTAAAAAAAAAAGACAAAAAACTAATTTAATGTCAATAAACTGTCTACTTTGTTTAAAATAAAATGAAAATTTCAAACTATGGGAGACTAATACATACAAATTTTATTACATACATTTAAACCTTAACATTTACTTTATTTTAATATTTTAAAATATAATTATAATTACAAAATGTCTTGCTGACAAATGGGTAAAACAAAGGTTAAAAAAGTGGAAAAGTATTTAAATTTACAGTTGATTAGTATTTTGTGCTGCATTATTATACATTACAAAAATGCTCCTTAGATAATTTAAATTCTTATATTAAAATGTTACTGGGTGTCTTAAGTAAATCACGGTAAAACTGTATAATCATCATTATTATTTGCTAAGAAAAAATATAATTTAAAGACAATTACATGTAAACATTTTAATCTACAAATTAACTACAATAATCAGCATTAAAAAACTAAATTTGTGACACCAAAGTTGGACTGTTGAACAGTTGAATGCAGACTTTTGGGAAAAAATGGTAAATTCTGTAACTTTAAGATATTCCAAGAACTGAATCTGAGAAAACTGTCCTCGAATCTGATCCAAAACAATTCCACAGGTCTGAAAAAAAATACAAGGTGTAAACTGTACATTCCTGTTGCTACCTGTAGGGCTGTCAAACTCTTCTTCTCCACCCTTCCATTTAATCCCCATCTTTTAATTTACTTAGTTTGTCAAAAAGACCTCTTAATCCTCAATAAATATCTTTCCAACAAATGCTAAATGTATTTGTGTCATGAATAACACAGTCTGTTTTCACTAAAAACACTTTAAAATAGCATTCATTATTAAATTCTTTAAAAAGCACTAAAATGTAAAGACAACATCTTACAATAAAATGTAATTCATTAACATTAACACTGGTGTTAGAAACCGATATTTGTAATTTTTCCAAGCAAATGTTCAAGGTTTTTCTAAAGCTTTATTAATTGCACTGTAAACTAACCTTCTTAAAACCCAAAATTCATCCACTACCTGCTTGCCCCCAGCCAATGTTTTGTCTCTCTTTTTGTCGTTCTTGTTTTGTCTAAAATAGATTTGTTATCCTGCTTCAGTCAGCCGAATCTTGTATCTACTCTTGGCCAGACTGCTGTTCTCCTGCTTTTTATGATTTTTTTTTGCTGTAGTTACTGTATTCCAACTTTTGAGGGAAATGATCTGATTGACCCTATAAGCCAATTACAAATATTTGAGATTTTCTGCAGTAGATTTTACATAGTGGTTGGTCTTCCTCAGGATCAGATGGAGGAGGATATTCCAATACAAGATCTCAGATAAAAAACGTAATGCTTGATGGAAATAAAATTTGTGACACTGTCTATGGTTGTTGAAACAGTGACATCAAAAAAACACACACTGTAAAAAAAAGCTTAAGGCATTCAATAAAAATTGTATTTAGCCAAGCAGTTTCTTTTACAGAGTTGATCTGATTCACTTAAGATGTCAATCCTGAAGCTTATGGACCAGTTTTAATGAAAGTAAGTGTCGTCATAGTTCTAATGTACATTTACAGACTACTTGCTAGGCAATATATGTGTAATGATGTCTGTTAACATTATCCAGCATATATTTACAGTAATTATGGGTGTTGCTATTTTTACCCCCAATGTTCAAGGTTTCCGTATAACTTTCTCCCAGTTATTTTAGCTCTGTTCGACTCTATAAACTGACATCTGTAATAATACTAATTATTACATTTATTGATGTAGCTAACGCAAGTTATTTTATATTACATTTTCTTTTATTTATTATTATATATTACATTATTAGTATTACTCAATTACTAAATAGGGAACATCCCACATTCACAGTAAATAGCTTAGGTGTGTGTAAAAAGGTGAATAAAGGTGATTTATGAAGAAAGAGCTAGCATGGAGGTGTTTATGCGTGAGAGAGATACCTTCTAACAGTCTGAGATGGAGATCTCTGTTTGGTGCTGCTCCCTGAGTGGCTGAGAAACCTGCAAGATCAAAACAACCTTTATGCCTTTTTCAAATGACGCAGAAAAAATGTTTAACATGGGCATGAGTCATTCTTATACAGCGTCGATTATAACGTAGCGAAGACTTTGATCTGTATCTTTATTCAAATGTATTTTCGTAATTGGCCAGGTGCTTGACAGAAACTGTCGCATGAGAGCCAAACATGGATTTAGCTTTTGTAACCTGAACAGTTAAGTATGTGGTATCTGATCATAAAAAATTATTCACAAGCGACAAAAACGTTCATCGGGATATTTGGAAATGTATCTTAGTCTAAATTGGCAAGTATTTTAGGTAATTTAAGATGTAATGCGTACAGTATGTACAGCTAAAGAAAAAAAAAAGTAAAATTGAAGAGCTCTCCGCAATGATCTGTAACAAAACATATGGTGTCTTCCAAAAAGAACACTAAATCTTTTTATGGGAACTGAAGCAATTAATTCAAAAGAAAAGAGCTCAGCTCTGCACGTCAACAGTTTTTTTTTGTTTTGTTTTTTTTATTGCAGGAAACTATTTTCTTAATTTTCTTAAAAATCAGCCTCAGCAAAAAAAATGTATGTACTGTAAGTACTGGTGCTATAGTTGTAAGTGTACTACTTAAATATAGCTTTAAACTAAACTGACTCAATTTTAAGTAAATAAAAGTATACTTTTAATGGACACCTATTTTAATCCTTTTACAAGATGTAAGATAAGCCTTTGGTGTCTTAGGCCCAATCCCAATTCTACCCCTTAGCCCTTCCCCTAACCCCCACCCCTCGTTCAAGGGGTAGGGGTGTCCCAGTTCTCTTTAGCTTGAAGGCGTAGGGCTAAGGGGAAGGGGTGAATAGCCCTTTGAACAAAGATTTTTCAGGACCACAATCGAAACCAAGGGGTAAGAAAATATCCCAGAATACAGCCACAACAGCAGATTGTTACACCCAGAAGTAAGGAGATCCACAAATTAGTATTTTTTGGCATTATTAGAAATTTTTACAACAAACAAACACGTTTTAATATAATTTTATAACTGCGTTCATGTTTTACCGTCATGCTTTAAAAAAAAACGCTAAATTTGGTGATCTATAATCCATCATAATAACTCCTGTATAGCAGTCCCACAACATTCTGACACTTGATAACTCTCAAATACCCTGTCAGTAATGTCTAGTGGCTGGAAAATTTTACAGTGACTTCTATAATGTTAATGTTGTTTTTGGTGTGTTTACATAGATGAATGTGACCACTGTGTAAATACACAGTATAGATCTTATTGTCACATTATATCGTTATGATAACATAATATATGCTATCAGTGATTTCCTGAAGATAAACACCAAAAAATAACTCAACTGGAATAACTAAAGCAGTCGCGATCGTCTGATTTCATATGAAGCAAGAGATTGCGATGACATCTGATGACGTGTACAGGTGCTGTAGTGCTGTCCCATTTCTTAGGTGTAAATATTGAAGCCCAAAAATTGTTCAGTGGACATGTCTATACATGTCATTATTGAAACATGGTGCCTGTCGGTGCGTGGAGAAAACTGCACTGCTATGTCACAGTGCGGTGAGCCTCAAAATCACTAGGATTTGGGTCTTAATTTAACATCATGAAATTAAAAAAAATCTTTGAGTTTCTATCACTCTAATATGACAGTGGATACACTATACATACACACAGTTCTGTTCAAACAGCTTCCAAAAGTTGATTTTTATCATAGGTGCACTTAAAGTGTACTATATATGTAACTTTAGCAAACCTTAAATGCACAAGTAGTCCACAATTAAGCTTTTAATTTATACTCCAGGTTAAACTATTAGTTGTAAATAGTAAGTTAAGAAGAAAGATTCATTGTGACATACAGCCAAGTTTGGTGTTCCATACTCTGAAGACTTGGCTTGGCTCGGGGGTGAGGTGTCTGAGTAACACAGCTGAAAACCAGGTAAGTAATTGTACTATGCAACGGGTTTTGGGCGGCTGCTGCAACCCGAGGGTGTTACAGACTGTCCAAAAAAGCTAAGGAAAGTAAAATTGCAGGAATTTACAGGGAGAAATAACGAAATGGGTGAGTGGCAGGAGATGAGTCTAAAATACAGGAGACTCGAAGGGAAGAATGGGAGTGTTGGCAGGTGTGCACTTGAATACAACCCTTTTTAGTAAGGGCATGCAACACAGTACTAGAAGCATATGGACTTTGATAAGGAATATGAAAGTGCAACACACTTGAATTGTATTGCTCGGCTCTTTGGCATCATTAAACCTAAACACGCATGTGCTTACTAACACAAACATGCACATAAACGCACATGACCACATATACTGAGAATGTGTCCTACACTGTAATAATGCTGGATCCCACAAAATGGATTTGTGTTGGGACAACATGAAGGAATTTAGTTAACAAATAGTTTTTACAAATTTAAGTAGTTTAAACATAAAACAATTAAGTTGTCGTAATAAGAACTCACTAATTGTGTTGTTGCAGCTCATTTTAAATAACTAGTTTAAACAAACAGCAAACATCATTTTTTATATACACACACTGTATATCACACACACATGCAAACACACATCTGTCCTTCTACCTGTGAGCTCTGCCCGCTGCTCTTCTACGATGTATCAGACTCTCTGCCCTACAAATTAGGGACCGCCTCCTGAGAGTCAAACGCAATGCGAGCACCAATCAGATCCCAGGGTGCGGTGGAGATGCAGGAAAGTGATGGGGAAGGAGATGTAAGGAGACAGAGCAGGAGGAATATGGTGATTCATTTGTTAGTAAGTAGGGGGGGGGGTCTGATTCTATTACTTCAAAACATCTGACAGTCATCCACTTCTTTAGAACTAGGAAATTGCATGGATTAGTGCATCGAATCTGCCAAATCTTGCTTTCGTCTCTGTTATAACTTGCAATGAAAGAGAGCAGAGTCATCTGAGGTATCAGGATCAGCCCCAAGAGAAAGAAAGGGAGTGCTGAAGAGAGGAGTAGCCTATTAACTTCAAATTAAAACTTCTCCAGATTTAATTGTCATTATTTACTCATCCTCTTGTGATTCCAGAACGATTCGAAATGTGTCTATTATCAGAAAACAAATATACAAGACATTTTGGTATCATTTTACTTGAAGAGGTATTCATAAGACACCTCTATAATCATAACATCAGAAATATAAAAGAGCTTTTATGCATGCTCATGACAACTGCTATTGAGTGTCAATTGCTCAGTTGTCATTTTAAATACAAGTATGGCATTGTATAGGACTTAACATAAACAAATACATGACAACCTGCCTTTGTCCTTTTAATGACAACTTGACATTACCAAGACATGTCTTTATCATGACAGTAGGGCATTACCAAGACAACATAACTTGTCAGCTCTACACATACACTACACATGTGTCATCAATATTTTTCAGTTCATAATTTTTTCAGGGAAACAAAAGTGAATTTGTCATTATAACGTATTATTAAAAGTGGCAATACTCTGTCAAATAATTTTATAATAAGATCAAGAATATATATTGACATTTATTGACAATGATAAAGGCTTCATGAAAATCATGTTTCAAGAGTTCACACATCCTCGAGCCTGGGGCTCCCTCCCGTTTGCAAGGCGAGTGGGGAGTTTGAGCTCAGGCAGATCTCGAGAACTCCCCTGCCGTAGTAGCTAATGAACAGATAGTGATTGCTCCTAAGAGATTTACTAGGTGTATTTTTATGGTGCCGATTTAGATTAGTAAATTAAATTAAGTTGCATGTTTTTGGGCGATGGGATGAAACCGGGGGAACCCAGGGGAAACCCATGTGAGCACGGGGAGAATGTGTATACTCCGCAAAGAATCATCGGCTGGCTTGGTAAGGACTAGAACCAGTGACGTTCTTGCTGTGAGGCAACAGTGCTAACCACTGGGCCACCGTGCCACCCATCTACGAAAGGAGGAAAAGTAGGGGTGGAAGGGGGGATTCTTCAAAACGAAGATGGCTGTCATATGGAACTTAGGGTATTTGAAGTGGCTTAGGAATCGTTTGATTGGTGAATCATAAATTGAATAATGTTGGACCGGCTGCAAGCAATCATAAGAAAGTGATCCTCTTGAAATAAGTTTAAAAATAAACTTCATTTATGACAAGTTATGTTGTCTTGATAATGTCAAGTTTTCATGACAAATGCATAGACAGGTTATGAAGTATTTAAATATGTCAAGTCACCATAAAGTCATCTAAAACAAGTGAATGACAGTGAATGTCATAAGCATGAATAAATCTTCTTCATATTCATGACATGTCTTGGCATATACAGTTTTCATGACACCTTAACACCCATTTGAAGTAAAGTATTATTATTTAACCTTTAATATCCCTTGCAATTCTTTATTTAGTTGACGTCAATTAACAAAATTAAAATCATACCGTGTAACTGATTACAGTAATTAGCAATGCTAGAGGTAAGATTTTAGTAAAGTGCTTAATATTGCAGTTATGTATTCATGTCAATTGCAATCTGCTCTTAATATATATAATTGACTTTAATCTAGATTATTTTATGACAAATAACTGAGATGCCTTTAAATCTGCAGGCAACCATGGAGAAACGTAAAGATTTGTTGATGAAGTCAGAGTTGCATTTATTTTAGCTCTAAAAATCACCAAATAATGTACAGGGATAACTGTGATAAAGCAGAATATATGTGAGACTGTCCAACTTGGGAAAGTCAAATAACTGGCTGTTAAAATACTCCAAGTTAAAATTCTCAATAAAGACCCTAAATATATTTAGTAATCCTAAAACCAATAAAATATAAATAAAACACAAATAAATATAAATAAAATGAGAATTTGTGTTTTTAAATCAGTAGTTAGCACTCGCTTTTCATGTCTTCGAAATACCTGCATAAGGGTGAATTAAATATGTGGTTATTTGTGACTAATTTCTCTAATGAAGCTATTTGACTAATGCTTTAATACAGAAGACAGGATGTCTGATGGAGATATTGTGGTTGATGGGCTCTGACAGTTACACGAGTATGTGACTTGGTGTGAAAGATCACCTGTTCTGTTGCTCTTGTTGGAGCAGCTGCACTGCGATCTTCCTCAGATCCAACACTTCCTTCAGGTCATCCTCCTCTTCTTCAGCTAACTGCTCTTTCTCCGAGCTAAAGTGGAAAAAAGACAGACAAAATACAACATTGCTTAATACTTGACCTGCACACAATTCGCACAAAGCAAAATCTTACAAAGTGTTAGTTGTAAAATTAAGACAGTATATTTAATGCCTTTGAAGTGAATGGAATTCATAAATTAACAATATACAAGCCCATATAAGCAAAAGTTGTGACAGTATGTAAAACACAAATAAAAAAGAAAGAAAGTAGTGAATTCTATACATATACTATACATATATACATATACATATACAATATAATTGTATTTTATTGCAGACAATATGAACACAAAATATATCATGTTTCGTTTGGTAACTTTTATTTCATGTGCAAATTAACATCCTTTCCTGTCATTCAGACCTGCCAACACATTCTAAAAAAAAGTTGGGACAGTAGCAATTTAGGGCTAGCAATCAGGTAAATTGGTTAAATAATGAGATTTTAAACAGGTGATGTCAACAGGTGATTATAATTATGATACAAAAGTAGCGTCCAAGTAAGATCTATTCCTTTAGGAGCAAAGATGGGTAGAGGATCACCAGTTTGCCAACAAATATGTGAGAAAATTAATAAAATGTTTAAAAACAATGAAAGAAGAAAGATAGGAAGACATGAATATTTCACCTTCGACAGTGCAAAACATAATTAATAGTTTTATGGAATCTGGAGGAATTTCAGAGCATAAAGGGCAAGGGCGCAAGCCTAATCTGAACAACTGTGATCTCTGATCCCACTGCATCAAGAATAATCATTCATCTATAAGCTATATCAACACATGGGCTCAAGACTACTTTGGCAAACCTTTGTCAAGTACCACAATAGGTAGTTACATCCACAAATACCAGTGAAAACTGTACTGTGCCAAAAGTAAGCCCTATGTTAACAGTGTCTAAAAGTGCTGTTTACTTATCTGGGCTCAATGACATCTGGAATGGACCATCACACAGTGCAATCATGTACTGTGGTCAGATGAATCAGCATTTCAGGTATTTTGGGGGGGAAATGGATGCCGTGGGCACTGGACTAAAGAAAAAAATGATCATCTAGACTGTTACTACTCTAAAAGCCAGGGTCAGTCATGGTATTGGGGTGGATCAATGCCCTTGGCAAAGGTAACTTTCACTTCTAATGGCAACATTAATGCTGAAAAGTATATAGAGATTTTAAAGCACAATATGCTGCCTTCTTTTCCAGGGACGCCCATGCATATTTTAATAAGACAATGCAAAACCACATTCAGCACACATTACAAAGTCCTAGTCTGATTGCAGTCCCGACCTGTCTTCAATAGAAAATGTGTGACACATTTTGTGCAAAATGCGACACCGAAGACCCTGTACTGTTTCCCACCTTAAGATTTGTTTGCAGGACGAATGGGACAAAATTACACCTGAAGCACTTCATCACAATCAGTCCCTAAATGCCTTAAGTGTTGTGAAGAAGAATGGCAATATTATAAAGTGGAAAATGCTTTACTGTTTTGTTACTGTTCTAAGTTTTTACTGTTCCAGAACCAAAACTGGAATACATGTTTATTTTGAAAAAAAAAACAAAAATTATAAATAAATAATCATGAGGAATACATTAAATAATGTTTGCTGTATTGTCTGCAATGAAATACAAGTAAATTTGGAAATCACTACTTTCATTTTTTATTTGATTTTCCACACTGTCACAACCTTTTCAGATTTGGGGTTATATTTAGAAACCTTATGACAAAACCATTAGACAAGGACTATGGCTATGAATTAATGCATTGTGGTGGCTATTTATAGTGTACATCACCAAATTTACTAATAAACAAATTATTGGCCACATACTGTACAAACTGCAGCTACATTTAGTTTTAGGTTCACTATTTTTAAGTTTCTGCAGTAAGCATTTTATTTAAAATATGGTTGTAAAATCTCATTGTGAAAACGCATCATTGCATCCATTCTTGATCCCTATTATATTAACAAACCAACCAAACACTAAGTTAATAATTTTGCATATATTCAACATAAGATATTTGCATTACTTTTGCTACGCTGTTGTTTTTCAATTCCAAGAATGTAGAGAGTACACACACGCACACACACACACAAAACACTCATGCATTTAAATGCAGTTGTCACTCTTGGGAATGTATAATGCAAACATGGCCATTGTGCTTTAGCTAGCAGTCCTAATTACAGTATGTTAGCAATAGTACAGGTGGATAGGAATGGCATGAAGGCCACAATGAAGCCTTTAAACAATTGTAATATCTTATGTGAAGTTTACTACATCTATAAACAGTGGTAGTAGTCAAACACTGCAGTGAATTTAGTCAGCAACTGGATGGTGCAATAAAATCTATAAACAGATGCTCTAATTCACTTTAAACTGTAGGTGCTTGATTGGGTTGACATCTGGGCTTTGCGTGTATTGTACAATTTATTCCATACCATATTCTGTTTTTATTATAATTTTGGAACAGGATTAAAGACATGCAAAAAAGCTAAAAGCACACACAGTACTGGTCTCATGCGACATGATTTGTTTCACTGCAAATAAAGGAAGAGCCAAGCCTAGTAATTAGACTGAGTTATGTACTTTTGGTCATATAGTGCAATTATCCCTATTTTCTTTCAAATGTCCATTTAGCAGCAGTGCGTGTATGCTCATGATTACTGGAACACTGTCACCTTACCATATGCGCATCATTACTGCTAGTGAGAAGCATCAAAAGCACATCTCATTTGAATTAACTGTCTAACACAAAGAGTTGCCGCAAGTTGCTCAAAATCAGAGCCATTCTGCAGTTATTGGGCAGATGGAGTGGACAGATTTTACAGAAATTTTACGCATACAATTTATGTATGCGTATGTTTTGTTTGTGCTCCTCACACATGCACTTTAAATTGCTTTTGCAAGACTTTTGTTCGTCCACATTTATGTCAATAATGAACCAGGCCATTGTATCACAGTCAGACAGTATAAGAACATCTTTCCAAAGCTAAACAGTGATTAGAGACTATCAAATGAATGACTCTTCTCTACTTACATCATGCAGAAAAGTCTAACAAAAATGTCCCAACCATTGTCCTCTTCTGGAGCACTAGTCTGGGTCTGGTGGTTGCCAGGAGAACAATACTTGCCTGACTGCATTGTGCCAATTATAAAGTTTAGTAAAGGGGGATTATAGTTGTTTTTCATGTGTTAGCCTTGGCCCCTTAGTTCAAGTCAAAGGAAGTTTCAATGCTTTAATCTAAGAATTGGACAATATATTGTGGAAACAGTTTGGAAACAGTTTGAGGAGCTCCAAAATAACTGCACACCAGTGCATAAAGCAAGAACAAAATGGATGAGGGGGGTTGGCGTGGAGTCCTGACCCTAACCTGATTGAACACCTTTGGGATGAATTAGAGTGGAGTTTTTCAGGTATTGAGCTTGGCTCTTAGTTTTAGTCACAGGAACTCAATGCTTCAATGTAAGATATGTTGGACAAGATATTGTGGGAACAGTTTGGGGATGTTCCCGTTCGAACATAACGGCACACCAGTGCATAAGGCAAGGACAACATTGATGAGGGAGTTTGGTGTGGAGGAACTGGACTGGCCTGCACATAGTCCTGATCCTAACCTGATTGAAAAACTCATGAATTAGAGTGGAGACTGCTAGCCAGGTCCTTCATCCAACATCAGTGCCTGACCTCACAAATGCACTTCCAGAAGAAATGTCAAAAATTCCCCAAAAAATTGTGTAAACCCTTTCCAGAAGAGTTGAAAGCATTACAGCCGCAAAGAGTGGACTAGCTCCACAAAAGCCTACTGTACAGGATGAGTTCATGTCCATGTACAGGCAGATTTCTACAAAACATTTGCTAATATAGTACATGTGAGGATAAAAATGTATCAGCAACTCAAAAAGACATTTTTCATTACTCAAAACATTTGAATAAAGAAAGCACAGACCAATTTCAGTGCACAGGATATACAGGAGTATATATTTAAAAGCTGTTCAGAAGGACAGTTACATATTTTGGGGGTGTTAATTGCTCCTTGAAAATAAATGTTATATCTTGAATGGAAAATCAAATCATTTTTGAGCAATTTTTCAGTTTTTTAAGTTCAGAAGTGTTACAATTTGATTTGATAAAAAAGGCATTTTTAGGCAAAACCAATAGAAATAAAAGGCTTTTGGACAGAAAACGAAAACATTTATTGATTGTAAATCTACCAAAAACCAAAAGTCACAAACCACATATCATCCATCGTCTAACACCACCCATTTTTACCATACAAGGAGTTCTTCTCTTCCACCCGTGCAAAAGTGCATTCACAGCGTCATGCACACCCACTCAAGCCGATACATCATAGCAACAACACGTAATCACAAGAATAGCAAGGAATTGGGAATTTACCGGCTGACTCATCTATTTGTTTGTTTACGTTGCACACTTGGATTATACAGAATCTGGAAATTCTCTGGAAAATCTTAGGTCTCAGCAACGCGATAAACCACAAGAAGACAATGACGCAAAGCTCCTGCGAATCTGCAAACAAAGTCTGTCATTAATTTTTTTCTTTTCGCATTACATTTATTATTTTACTATTGTGTTTAGTATTGCATCAACGTGGATTGCATTTGACTGAATCAGCTGATTGTTTTTGGATTATTAATGTAGCTCATCAAACATACTAAAAGAAATCACAGGCTCCACCCATTATGCTACAAATCTGGAATCTTTACACAGCAGCAATCTGAATGTAAGATCTGCCAGCTCATCCTAACTAAATGTTCATTTGAAAATATGAGTCTATGCATATGAATTTACATCTAATAAAACCACAAGGGTGGAGGAAACCTTAAAGCACTGGACCAAATTACAGGAACTTTTTTCTTCATATGATGCTAAACTAAAAGAAATTCTTTTTAATAGCCTCCTCATGTTCACCCCCTCAGGTTCGATTTGTTTTTACTATAGAATTCCAGTAAAGAGCAGCTGACATCATAAAAAGCTATTA